TAGCACTGTTTTTGAGAGAGTACCGGCTGACTATAATCAACTGAGAGATAGTATTATTAAACACCTTACACCTAAACTCTTTCTCTTTCTAACAATTAAATGGCTAAACAACTATATCAAGAATTTCAAGAGTTTAGTTGTCAGGTTTCAGAAATACTACAAAAAGTTTATTAGTTTCAGAGACATTTGCAAGTTGTTTGCAGGAAATAAAAAGAGAATTAATTGTAAGTGTAGTAGTAGGTTCTAGGCAAGTAGATTAAACTCAAATAGTTTTAGGTCCATATTGAAAAGTTAAAGTTTTTGTGCACCAGTTAATTTGAGAATTGGCTTGAACAAGCTAAGATTGTCCAAGAATCAAATCATTACGACAGAGTGAGATTAGATGTACTTCAACTCCAAAAGTATAATAAGTTCCTAACTCAAGTTTAGACAAGGTGATAAGCTTATGTGATTTTTCCTTTGCACCATTTACAAGTTCAATGTAAATTTTTTTACCAGTAGAAATAAACAGATTATTTTGTTTAGCAAACTTTTTGTCAATAAAATTTCGAGTGGCTCCACTATCATTTAAAATTTGAGCAGGATTTTTATTAATTTTGTCATTAATACGTAACAATCCTTTCTGGTTTATTAATAAATGTGTCAATTCCATTTATTGATTTACAATAGTTTTAGGCTGTTCTTCCAGAACACGAAGTTGATTTCTCTTCTTAGTGCAATCCTTTGCAAAATGTTCAGGTTAGTCACAATTAAAACAATTGTCACGAGGTCCTCTTTTTTGATTATTATTATTGTTACTATTATTATACCTATTGTTGTTGTTGTGATTATTATTATTACAATTATTGTTACTAATTATTATTATAATTGTGAGAGGGTGAAGGTCGATTGTTATAATTTAGTCGAGAAGGTCATGAAGGACGGTTTGAGGCAGAATAGTTGTTCAACATAGCAGCATCATATTGTATGGCAGTAGTAATAGCATGTTCCAAGGTATTAGGAGCTTGATAAGTTACTTTAGCATGTGTGGAAGGTTTCAATCCTTCAATATATTGCATTACTTGATCAAGAGGTCCCATGCCAGTAATTTGTCCTATGATATCTTGAAATCAGGAAGTATAATCACGAACAGAACCAGTTTGTCGCAACTGTCGAATTTGTTGTCAGAGGTGATGTTGATAATTAGGCAGTTGAAAAATAGCTTGTAGAGCAGTTTTAAAAGTAGCCCAATTAGCCCAGGGTAATCTTGCATTAGGTAAGTGTGTAGTTATTTATTGCATATACCAATTTCCTGCAGCACCTTTCATGTTGGTACTAGCGTATCGAATTCGAGCAGTATCATTGTCGAGTCCTTGTGCTTCAAAAATAGTTTGTACTTGCTGTAACCAAGCAGTAACATTCTCACTAGTTTCTCCTCGGAAGACAGGAATAGGAACAGAAATTTAGGGTGTAGAGCAGGAGGAAGATTTTGACTAACAAAAGTAATTCCAAGATTTTGAAAACCAGCAGTCAAGCCATTCATAAGGGTGTGAAATTGTTGTGCGTCCATAGTAGGTAAATTGTTTAATGTGGTAAAAAGAGGAGGAGGTAAGTTTGCAGGTAAATTAATTTCAAGTTAATTGTCAAGTTGGATAGGTTCAGGTTCAGTGAAGTTTTTGTCAATCAGATCTTATAAAGATAAAGCAATAGCTTGTTGTAATGTTTGTTCGTCGTCCTTGTCAAGGTGAATTATAAATTCAATATTTTCAGGGACAGGTTGCGAATTAGAAGGTGTTCCTTGTTCTTGTTGTATCTGTTGTGATAATTGTTGTCGTCGCTCGCGGATAAGTTGTGCATGTTGTCCCTCAGTTATTTCACTTGCAACTATAATCCGTTAAGTATATTCAGCAAGAGGAGTAGTTAGAACTGGGGAAGTTGGAGGTGGTTGTTCAGTTAGTTCAGTTTGTTCATCGTTGTCAGAAGTATCAGAATTTGTGGGTGACGTTCGTCTCCAGGGAATCCAATTAGACATAAACTATAAGGTTTATAAAGTATTCAAAGATCCGCTGCTACCAAGTATAATGAGTTGTCCTAACTCGTTTATAATTACAAGTAAAATAAAAGTAAATTGAGACAATTCGGTCAAACAGAGTATTTAATAAATAAATAAATAATTATTTGAGCAGAATAAAATCTACCCTTTTCTTTATTATTCTTATGCCTTATTTATATAAAATTACAAAAGTAAAAATACATAATAAAATATATAAACATT